TTGCCTCAGGTGCTACATGTTTGCCTCCCTCAGGCATAGAAATGGTGCATTCCACATCACAGCAGTCAACAATTGTTAAATATTCACTATTAAAATAAAATCAAGTGCAAATTTGTGTTAGAACATGCAGTCAACTAGAGTACAAAATACGCGAGTGTAAACATCAAGATAAGGTGAGAAAAAAAACAGGGTTGTTAAGCCTCTATTAACTCTGTGGGACCTGCAGCACATATACACTTTCTTTTTTCTGTGTGGCCCAAATAACAACCCCTTCATTTTCCATTGAAAGAAACACGCTGAAGCATTGCCATTCTCAGATAAATTTGTCTTTTCACAAGAGAGCACGACAGAAAAGCAAAAATAATTCAGTCGGCCCCTTAATGCTAAACGAAACGGTGAGCACTGTATTTTGAAGCAAACATAAGATAAAATATGTCTGGCCACAATTAGTTCTCCCTGGCTATGGACCGTTCCACAGATACCGGGGTAGTGCTATTTTTGTTTTTCTCGTGGTAATCTTTAGGGGATATCATTAAAAAAATACGTCCTATAAATAGTGTCCTGAGCGTGATGGAACATGTTCTTAATGAAATTCCCCGTGTTATTACCACGTGGCCACACAGTTGATTGTGTACATGTAGGCCTAACGAGCACAGAGAGACGTGCAAGATACACTGTAGAGATACAACAGTTGTAAAAAATCAGTTATTGCTCTCTAGCAGTTCTCCCTGTCTGCATTCCGTTACAAGTTACAAGTATATGATTTTAGGCTTTGCATGGTGGAGTATCAAACTTATCGTTTCCGTTTGCGGTAACACCATGTGGTAATAACTACTGCTTAGAAGATATTTAGTTCTGAAAAGAACTTGTCCTGCTTATTATCAACTTTTGCTATGTAGTTTTTGTTCTGATAAGAACAGTCCTGCTTCAAGTTTGTCAGGAGACTGTCTCCTGACGATGGCTAGAGCAGGCTAGTCGAAACGTTGAGACCAACAACAAGTTCTTTTAGAACTTAAAGCAGGACTGTTCTTATCAGAACAAAAATAGCAAAAGTTGATAATAAGCTGGACAAGTTCTTTTCAGAACTAAATATCTTCTAAGCAGTAGTTATTACCACACGGTGTTACCGCAAACCGAAACGATAAAGTTACAAGTAGAAACATTGTGTTTTTGGCCTGTGCAGCAGGTCCCATGGGTAGCATGGGTACAAAGCTTCAATATACACATGGGTTAATAGAAAATAAATGTTAATATAAAGCCTTTAAAAAAAAGTCTCCAAAAAAATAGATCCAAGAAGCTCATCAGGCATTGCTGAAGAACTGAAAAGTATAGTGGTGGGAGAAATCGGAGATTTCTAAATCCGGTTATCCTAATTTTTTTCCGAACTGAATAACGGTAATCTGATTTCACCGAAATTTCCCATCCAGCTCACAGTCATGCACAACAAAAAGTGGCGAGCGAGGTTCCACATGAAATGCCCTCCCAATGACTGGGTATAGTTTGCAGGATTCAATGACCACTTGGCCTTCATAAAAACACTCCAGAGCTGTAACGTTAAAACAATGGATGGGAACTCTCTGATACGTCGAGTGGGCAGGCTATTCATGTACCAAGAAGACCACTAGCAAGTGAATGCAGTTACAATCAGAGACCATAGAGAAAATTAGGGGATGTTCCAGTTGTGTTCTTCAGTTTGTGTCACAAAAACGGTAGGCTTAATTTCTGTTCAAGGTCGGTTTCGAATATCCGGTTTCTAAAATTGAAACTGAATACAAACCGAATATGAAAAATCCGGATTTAAATCCCACCACTATTAGTGTATGAAAAGATTTTTGAATATTAATCTGCAATTCCAATATAAAAAGACAGTTTATATAAATTGTGTCTGTACAATATATTATGTTAATACTTCAGGGTAGTTGGTTGTGGAAAGGAACGGACAATTTAAATAAGAAATGTTCTGAAGCTGTATGGTATTACGCTTTTGGGCCTTAATTCTTTTGTGCAGCAAACGTGATGCGATCAAGCTAAAAAATGAATCGTTTGGCGACCTTGGTCAATTTTTTTTTTTTTACAGTTTTTAAAAGAGCACAATCTGAGCATTACTGATGTGAAAACCGCATGCTGATACCATCTTTAGTTTAAAAATTATGGAAGTCGGAACACCAAAAGGTGTGATTAAGTGATGCACGTGGCCCTATTTTGGCCTGAATCTCCAAATGAAAGTTCCCGACAAACGACTCATTTAGCTTGATCGTATCACAAATGTAAAAAAAAAAAAAAAAATACCAGCTCAGAATATCCAATAGGAAAAAAAAAGGAAAACTGTTTCATGACCGAAAGAGAAATTTACTAATTAATGAAACCTAATTAGAATTTTATGAGTCATAAGATTGTTTTAGCACACATTCTCAAAATATTTACAAATATGCAGCATGAGTTTGAATTGTAATTTCTAGTTCCTGAGAACCAATTTTGTTTTTATCATTGCTAATGATCAATACGCTATCTACAGTTTAGATGTTACATATCAGCAATCCATACTAAAGAATTGTCAATTTCTTTTTCTACGAAATAGTTAATATTAGACCTAGAGTGGTACTGGACCATTAAATGAACTATGTATAAGTATATATTAAAATTACCCGCATTTTTGTTGTATGTACAGATCAAAACTTGGATGGCATGATGTGCACAAATTGACTGTTCGAAAAATGCCTCGTAAAATAACAGAGACAGATAAGCAACTTACAAGAGTTGCAGAAATCTTTGAATTTAAAGGCATAACAGATCATTTGCTTTTCATGCATCTTGTTCGTTTCCAATAATAACACCACTCAAAATCCAAAGGCAAAGGTTCGAAACCTTAACTGTTGCACTTTCAACTCAGTGGATATTATACTTTTCGAGAAAACAGTGAAAACCAATGCAAAACTTTCTGATCCCGAAATACAATTTCGTCAACAACATTCCAAATATCAGTCAATTGACTGATTGTTGGGAATGACTTAGATTTTCTGATTTCTTCTAAATGACAGTAAGCCAGACTGAATAATTTTACGGGGTGTTTAAATCCAGTACGATATTTCCAAGTATGCTTTTTTTGGTAATGATTCAGTGGGTTATTTTTTGGAAATGAATGCAAATGATCCAAGACACCTTTAAATAAAACATGGTAGTGCAATAACATAGCAAACAGGGCCCCATCACCAAAAAAGTCCAGTGGGTAAGATAATACCAAAGGTTTTCATGTCACTTTCTGAACACATAAACGCTTAGTTGCCGAGTTTTAAATGATACAGTTTTTTTCTGCAAATGCAGTTTGAGAGCATGCATATTGATTTCACATGCTGCAAATTCTAATCACCAATTAATTAATTCTAGGACTATTGAATACAGCGGAAGCTGTTAAAATTAAGCACACAGGAGTGTATAGCAGTTAAAATCATTGCAAAGAGACGTTTCGATTGACACCTGGCTCTGAACATGCAAAACATGAAAATGTGTTTGTTGCACACAAGCTTTTACCACCTTACGACTGGACTTTTTGTATGAATAGAAACAGAAAGAACAGCAACAATGTACTACCTGTAGTAAGCTTTTTTGCAGAATTCGTTCTTTTCACACTCCGCCATTGGGCATGCACAGCCTCGATCTGGCAACTTTACACAATAAAAATAGCCGGTTCAGTGATCTGAACCCCGACACGGGAATCACTGAACCGGCTGTATTTATTGTGTAAAGTTGCCAGATCGAGGCTCTGCATGCCCATGGCGGAAGTGTGAAAAGAGCGAATTCCCCAAACTATGTGGATTGGCTCTGTGCACAAGTACCCCCTCAACGGTAAGAAAGGGAGAGTTGGGGGAGACCACTGGGAGAGACATTTAAATGCATTGCCTACGACACATGACACTCACACGAAGACATTACAGCTCAGTGCACATGTACAGCGTGTGTCAATAAAAACGCAGGATTAGAAACAAAAATATTAAGAATATAAACCACCCCTATTCATCATAATGTTAACCCTCTTTTCAAAGTACCTTTCCTTCTCTTCACTATGCTTTTTATCCCATCTCATTTGGACAATTCTGTCCAGAGATAGAGTACATTAAAGAAGGGTTATAAATTCCAAGCTGGTCTGATTTGTGAAATCACACATACCTAATGAAAGGTTTGAATTCAGTACGGGTGAAAGTATTTGTGGATCACAAAGAAGGACATGTGTGGCAGGATTAGGCTTACATAATCCTTTAGTCCACAATCAATGTTATTAGTCAACAATTCATGATGCTTTGAAACAATGATAGTCCAGTTATTAAATCTAAGTGATACTTATCATCAGTTGTTTCAAAGAAAGTTTTGTTCTGGTTTAAATGTCTTCAATGCATACCTGCATTGTACATAACTGGTCGTTGTGTTAAGGTCATTGAATCAGACCAACCCACTTCAGAAGGGCTTCACAAAACTTGTCATAACTTTTGAACCAAAATTCCAAATTCCACCAAACAAAAATCTTGTCAAAGATGAAATTATGGACAATCAAATCCTTATCAAATTAGGCACACCAGTAGCATAATTTTCTCAGAAAACAAATCGCTTTGAATCCTGCGTTTTTATTGACACACGCTGTAGAATAAAATTAGCCGTGCTATGATGTATGTGGAGGAAACAGCATGCGCACACATTGCGTCCCTTCCACTGGGACTCTTGAAAGAGATCAAAAAGCGCCCTCTCTCGTTTGCGCACAGAGGCCATTTACATGGTTCTTGGCGCCCTTCCAAAGTTAGTACAAAAAGAATGTGATATTGTTTTCCTGCTGAGTGGAGTAAGTTCAAAGATTCAGAAACACTCAAATTAAAAAAAAGCCCAAGGAGTTACGGTTAAAAGATTCTGGAAGAAGCTGGGTTAGTATCTCCACTTGAGATGTTGGGGAACGAGGGAAAAGGGATAAATTAAATAGCATCTTTTTCGTTATCATGATAACTCGTGTTACTTACTCCAGCTTCCTCCGCTTGGTAATGGTCTTTTTTGTCCTTGAACAATGCGCTGATTTCCTCAAAGCTCTTGTTCTTGGTCTCCGGCACAAAAAAGAAGGTGAAGACGAAGAAGATGACCAGAAGAACGATGAAGATGATGAAGACGTAGTTCTGCAGGGCTTTCTGTGAAAGAAATTACCGGTCACCAGCGAAAGTGCCAAATACCAATTTAACCAGATTAAACTCAACTTAAGTTCCCATATTAAGATTCCTGAAAAATATTATTTGGGAAAAAAAATAATAAATTATTAATCATCTTAGATTGTCCAGAGACTAAATCGTCACCGTTTTGAGGAAGTGACGCATCTGTGCACGCAGATGCACAACAGAGTTTTGAGAAAATTGCATTTGAAGTTGGTGGATTTTTTTCAATTTGCATTTTTGTGTACATTTCTCCCCCAGAATTGAAAAATATATAACTGAGACAATAGCCCAGCACTTAAATAGCCCAAAACAATTCTCTCTGTCATGTCTGTTCATAAAATCGTATGTAATTAGAAGTTATTAATTACTAAAGATATCTGTCACTTTGTTAACACGGAAAATCTACTTCTTCACAAAAATGAGGCATACATGTATGTTTGTACACAGCGTGCGCGTATATAAAATGTATACATTTTAGAACGAAGATTCGTCACTTCGTCAAAACGCAAATCATGGAGGCTTTATAATTCAAAATATAGCACACGTGTAAGGCCTAAAAAAAAAATAAGTCGGTCTCTGGTCAGCGCGCGCGTCGATTTTAATCATGCGCGTCAATCCTTTTTTTCCCAAAATGTTCCGCGGTAGCTCCAACAGCGCCCTCTATTGCCGCACCTCCTCAATTTTTTTTTACCAAAGAGCACCAAGGAATGGGAAATTGCACCAAGGCAAATGATCGAGAGCACCAAGGCAAATTATGGAGGACACCAATGTACATGAGGACACCAAGTAGCAAAATAGTACCCACCTTGTCAGTACAATCCAAGCTTGAAGTAAAAAAAAAAAAGCCAAAAAAAAAAAAAAAAAGCCGCGTCCCCACGTCAATTCCGGAACTTTGGTCTGACCAGAGACCGAATATTTTTTTTTTTTGGCCTAAAATCAATGAGACTATAAAGTGACAAACAGAGATTCGTCACTTCGTCAGAACGAAAAACTCAGTGTGTAGCATTTTCAATACTTTGTGTAATTAGAGTAGTTAACGAACGATGGAATGTTGTGTTTGTGTTGTGTAAAGGACATCATGAAATGTTAGAATATCCAAAAATCTCAGATTTCAGAAAATCTTGGTTTTGGATGGATTCGTCACTACGTCAAAACGGTGACGACATGTATACTGTCCCCAGCATGCCAACTGTGTGTTACCTGTAGGATTGGGAAGAGAAGTCCCACAGCAAAGTTGGCCGTCCAGTTGACGCAGAACGCGATGCTGATGGCAGCCGGTCTGGGGCCCTGGGAGAACAGCTCGGCCACAATCAGCCAAGGTATGGAACCTGTTCAGAAAATGAATCAAGTAAGTGGCACGTTGGGTTTGACCAGCGCGAGAGAAGCTGATCCGATCCCAATTTCATGACTCTGCCTAAAGTTGCGTTCCCTGTAGCCTTCAACATTTTCATTTTTTTTCTCTTTTAATACATTTTCAACTTGTAATGTTAGTCAGGTTGGCGTAGCGGTACTTTCCTAACCTTCCACCACTGTGACCCGGGTTCGATTCCTGCGTGGGCCAATATGTGGATTGGGTTATCAGCCCCTACTTGATTCTGTGGGTTTTACCCGGAATATTTGTCTGGGGTTTTCTTCCCACATCTAAACTATATTTTCTTCACATTGTCTTCTCTTTACAGGGCCCCATGGGAGACCAGTGGATTCCACTGAATGGGCTACCCAGTTAAAGTAATAAATAAATAAATACATAAATAAATAAACATTCCAACTTAAAAACCTAATTTCCCCCCCCCCCCCCCATTTTTTTGGAAGTCTGCAAACCTCTGAAAAAAAAGGGTTTTGTTTTGGGGACAAACAGATTCTTTTTGCAAGCAGACTGGCTCCCGGTCCCTACATTATTAATACTGATCGTGGGGAGAAACCAGCTGGCCTACCCCATGAGAACAGAATTATTTGTCTTGCAGCCAATAATGCAAAATTGTAAAGCAATAATTTAATAACTAAACCGATTTAAATAAATAAATCACAAGTTAATAACGAAAACCAGGATAAACACTGAAAGAGTAATACATTTGTGACAATTCATTTGGAAAGCTTGACATTTCTTGAAGCTGGACAGGTCGTGAATGGCTTGTGATGATACAACTGCAGGAGTTGGTCACCTTAACCTCAAACTTTCTGACCCTCAAAGACCTCAGAATACGCCCGGTATTTGGAGAGTCATGGCCTAGCACTTAAGAGCACTGGACTCATGCTCTGGTGTTTCAGAGGCAACAGTTGCGTGGGTCCGAGCCCTGGTCTGGACACTTCTGCCCTTGAGCAATTGCAAGGCACTTAACCATTATTTCTGCGTCCTTCAAATGCTCGTAGGTCCCGTGTGTTGTGTAATGCAATGCACGCAAAAGAACCCAGTGATACTTATCACTAAGAGAAGGGGTTTGCCCCGGTGTTTCTGGCCTCCTGTTAAACCTCCCCTGTGGAGTATTTAGGAGAAGAACTAACCAAGAACCAAACTTTTCTGCCACAAGAAAGTGCCCTATACTGGCAGCAGATTTTACAAGTTTTACCTGACGGAGAAAGTCATGAAGCAGTTATTATCTTTACAATGCCAAAGCAAAAGAGAAGACTACAACAAACATAATTTTCATTTTACCTGGCCCTATGGCAAATCCTAACGTGAAGAACATAACACAGACAACGCTAATGTAGGATGCAGGAGACCAGGTTTCCTTCAGGAGTAAAATAACAACAACAAACAAAAACAAATTATAATAAAAATTATATGACCAAAGCAAAAAAAAAAATTATGTTTCTCAGAAAGACATGGCTCTACTGAATGTTTGAGGGGTAATTCATTTTTCAAAGGTGACAAACCTTTGGGGTGTGTAATTGAAAGCTGTTGAAAGGTTTCAGAAATATCTGGAAATCAACTTCTCACTGTTAGATGATTTTTTGCCACTGTGGCTGGCAAATTTCATGCAAGGCCTGTTCAACTCAATTGAACTAGAGAACAACCACCATCTTCCCCCCCCCCCCCCCCCAATGAAAAAAAATACACAACAAAACCCAAAACGGCAATTTGAAGGATCTGTCTATCACTTTGGATCTATCACATATTTCACATTTGTTCATCTATGTTTTTTAACACAAGAGAGTATGGATGGGCAGGGAAAGGAAGGGGTGCGTTAAGTAGATTTTTTTGGGGGGGGGGGGAGGGAGCATACCTTAACAAAAAGAAAGATTGTTAGTAAGGCGGCTGACACTGCCATGATGCCCAGACCAACGAGGTGCAACAAGCGACGACCGCTGCGATCCATTAGGGGTACCTGAACGATAGAGGGCGACAAAACGCTCAACGTCAAGTCAAAGTTTTATTGCATTTGCATGTAATAGTGGTCAGTGTTAGTGGTAATGTTACACGCCAACTGTACCATCGATCCCAACATAAGTTGGAAGTTTTCAAGCTGGGCCGGCCCAACTATGATTGACTTGTACGTACGGCATGGCTTGCAAATTAGTACTGCCTTGAAGGTGCAACAAGTGAGGGTGGAGTATACGCATCCAAACTATAGTTGGAACACTTTAGTTGGGATAGTTCAAACTTAAAGGTAATATGCAGAAGGCCTGGGGGAGAAGTGGATTTTCCTACTCGAGTACTCACAGAGAAATTATTCGCGACTAGTCGAGTACTCTTGAGTAGTTTACTTAATTCCCATAAAAACAGAAAAAAATGGCATAAAAGAGGTTGTGGAATGCTCGAAGACATTTCCGTCATTTTGCGGGTATACCGTATGTAGCCTAAGGTGTGATGAAATAAAAACGACTATTGTGTCTGTCATGAAATGAGTACAAAAGGTACTTTTGAGAGCTGTTTTTCAGGTCCTGTTTCGACCCGAACATGCAATTTGTGTAAAAGTCGTCGTTGGGGGCAGCAAACAAAACATAGTAAATCGTGACGTAATAAACAGGACTCCCGATGCAGCGTAGTATAAACGAGTCCTGTTTATTGCGTCACGATTTTTCTCATTTACGAAGAACCCGACGACTGTGGATTTCAATTATGCGCTTGCCGACCAACAAATTACTCGATGAATTTCAGTTTTATAAACATATAAACGCACATTACAAAAGAATGGGACTTTGTCAGTATGATATATATATGGGTCTACTCTGCAATAAAAAAATATAAAAAGCAAAACGACTTTCAGCATTCCACAACCTCTTAAACATTACTATTAAAGAAGGAAGCTACTATGAATAATAAGCGTGGAAGACACACCAAATTCTTCAGCACTGAGATATCCTTACTATGCAGAATGTTTGCTCATTTTACTTGATAATTTTTGCAGGATTGAGGCAGTGGTCACCCCTTCAAATACCACATTCAAGAAACAATGCAGGATTTTACAGGATTGAGGCTGTACACACTTTTTTACATGTAGGCAATTGGAAGACTTTGCAGGACTGAGGTCGCATCCTAGCAAACATGTCTAGGGAGTTAGTGTTAAGGGAAAACAAATTTTAGATTTTGTTGAAGAGCACTAGTGATGCAAGTTTAATTTTACATTTGGAAAGTCCCTAAAAAAAAACCTGACCGAATGAGTTATAGATTTAAAATGGTTCAGACGACAATACTTACACTGACAATAGTCATGATGACCATGACAGCCCCTGTGCTCAGGGTGGCGTATTTCGCGTTGTCTTCAGACACGCCGGCAGCGACAAAAATCAGCGAGGAGTAGTAAAGAACCTGCAAAATGATTAAACAAAAAAATTTTGCTAATGCAACTAATGGCGGAAGTTCAGGTGGGAAAAGAATAAGCTCAATTCAAATGTACGAAGCAGCTTACTAATTTCTGTACGAAGCATTTTATCTCTCTGTGCTTTTGCAAAGAGAGATTTGAGTAGTAGCCAAATTATAGCAAGCCAAAATGGCAAGTGGTGCATCTTGCCTGTCACTAGTTCAAAGATTGTTTTCATCAAAATTTAAAAAAAATATATGCAACAAAACGTTGTCAGCCGCTACGTTTCTTAATGTATATATTGCAAACATATTTTTATTAGCCAAACACTTTTCCGAGCAATATTGCTTGGCCAATTGGTCCAGTTTCATGAAGCTCTTAAGACACAATTTTCTGCAAACAGACCAAACTTCTTTCCATTTCACACAGACTGTAAACAATAAGCTAAATGGAGAATAAACTTCCACTTTTTCGCCGACTCCACCTAGTCTGATTGTCAACCATTATCTACAAAGCCCAGTCTCCTGTATAACGTCTGATAAATCTAATTATGCAGATTTATGCGATCCCGATCAGCCAATTGGAGTCGCCTTTACTAAATCGTGACGTCAAATCGCTTCGCCATGATCTATTACATAGACTAGACTCCACCATGCAAGCCTTAAAATCTGATTCATTAAGGGGCAGCATTTAATTGAAATAGAAATTTAAAGAGAATGTACAACATTTGCTTTTGCTCCAATTTTCAGACAAAAATGTATTTGGAGGATTAGTATGTTACAGCAAATATTGCTAAACTGACTTGTTTCACGTTTTGGGCTTGTACATGTAGATGCTGGAAAAACCAAGAAAACCAATCATGTTCTTGTAGTCTGGTTCCCTGACTTCACTTAAGATGAAACAGAGAAATGTATAGACTTTGGGGGATTGTAAGGCCAGAGAATCAGTCTGGCGGGCTTGTAGCCCTTCACAGGTGTGTAATCAATTGCAAAGAAAAATGCGGAACAACTGTTATGAAAATTTCGGAGCGGTTTTTTGAAAAAAAGCCAGTATTCTCCAACGCTGGTCGGCCGACCAGCGTTGGAAAAATACAAATTTTCTTAAAAATGTCAGCACATCAGGATACATGATTTTACAGGATGCTTTAGACTGTCAATGCCTTACAATCCAGTAAGGTATTTCGTTATAATTTGATCATTTCGTTTTTTGATGTTTGCAAATGTTGTATCTTCCCTTCAATTACATGCACAAGCTTCAGCTTGTCTAGTCCGATTTCTGGTACAGGCACTGTGTGTGCTTACTACTTTCGAGAGCCACCAGCTGGACGGGACATACTGAGTGTGGGTAATCTGATGAAGTATACAAAAGTAATTTTATTCCAAATGTGCATAAAGCCAAACTGTCTTCCTGGAGCGTCAGGCTAGGTGTCACCGGCAAAGCGTTGGAATGTCTCTCCTAGTGCTCTCCCAAACTCTCCCTTTCTTACCATTTAGGGGATACTTGCGCACGGAACCATAAGTTATAGCATCTCTTCCAATAATTGTTAAGCAGTGCAATAATACTGACGCGTCATTTCGTGAGGGTAAAAATAAACTCCCCGGCTTACCGCAGTGATGCCAGACAGTTGCTGCGACAACTGCATGATGACGCTGATGAAGAGCGGCCGGCGCAGTGAGCTGCGCTTGAAGAGCTGCAAGACGCTGATGCGTTCCTCCTTCTGCTCCTCCGCGTGCTCTCGCCGCATCTCGGCAATCTCGTCCGTGATCTGGGTGTCGCGTCGCAGCCACACCAAGGCTGCATGAATTAGACAAAGAAAGACAGAGAGAGAGCGATATGGTTTGAAAAGAAAGCTGTTTGAATAATTTCATTTATATATTAGGGCTGTCGCAAATAAACTGAAAAATTGTATATTTGATCATCAACCTAGGCCAAGTTCGGGCAAGGACCATTAGTCGACTAGTGGTTGATTTGTGACGTACCTTACGCCTGCGCACTGATAGCAACGTGCGAACGTCTTTAGTCAAACGCTGGTCAAAATGTCATCGCAAAACTTCTGGATCCTGGCTCTCTGCTAGCGTTATGAATGCGCGCAGCTATGGTTACCAGCGAAGCAACCAACCCCAGTAGGCTGGTTCCAAATAGTCGACTAGCATAGTCAACCACCGTTGAATAGACAGAGTTCGGGCAAACGTTAGTTTAACCATTGGTCAACTATAGTCCTTGCGCGAACTTGGCCCTAATCTACGAATAGCTTTTTGCCTGTTTGAATATTCAAAAACACATACACACATGACTTTGATGTTATTTTATCGTAAAGCTGCTGCCTATTATTGTCAGCTGTCACTCTTTTTTGTCCACGGTAACGTTTGTGTAGAAGGTGGTTCGTTGTTCCCATCCTTTTAGCTGGTTAAAGCCCTTTCAGATTATAATATGTTTATTTCAAAACACTCCAGCGCCCCATACCGATCGCCGCACTACATTTTACTGGGCTAGTTCAATGCTATCATGCTGTGCAACTTCATAATTATGAAACATTTCATTAAAAAAATCTGTCACTAACTCAACAAGTGATAATGTAAATATGTATTCAATCATTATAGGCAGCTGGTGTAAGTCATGATGTACATGTAGTGACTGAAAGTAGACTGTTTTATTGACTTTATGTACATGTTTTATTGACTTACATACACTATGTACATGTACTCCCTGGTACGTAACTGTCTTTAACTAACCGGACCAAGTCCACCAAAATCCATCAATCACACTGCTTCCAAATGCATGCTTTGCTTTTAATAGGCCTCCAGGCCTAAATCTGTCATATTCCATAATATTTAGTCAAACCTGCATGCAAAACCAAACCCCCAAAATCCATCAAAATGGGGGGACGGATTTTGATGGAGTTGGGGAGATATGCATGACTAATTTTAATTCTGAATGCCTATAAACTCGCAGCATCATGCACTGTCTGCAATGCATTCAAATGTAATACCGGAGTCCTATATAGCGCGCGTATCTACCAACAATTACACAATGTAGGTACTCAAGGCGCTGGAAATTATGTCTATTAATAAAGACAGGTAAAGGAAGTTTATGCGAAATATGAGACCCATTATGTAGCACCTTATAAAGGTTTACAAGGTGCTGCGGCGCATATTGCAACCACTGCCAGAAACACCAGGGCGAACCCCTTCTCTTAGCGGTAAGTGTTACTGGGTTCTTTAACGTGCATTACACAAGTCACGAGACCTAAGGCTTTACGTCCCACCCGAAGGACGAAGCAATAATTGTAAAGTGCCTTGCTCAAGAGCACAAGCACCATGTTCCCACGGTCAGGATTCGAACCCATGTACCATGGCACACGCGTCGAACATCGTAACCATGGGACCACAGCCCAATGACCCTCCCTGTTGTCTCCCCAAACTCTCCAATTGTAGCCGTTGAGGGGGTACTTGTGCACTAGAGTCCATTGAAATTTTTTCAAATCTTGATTCAACAAGTACTGGGTACTGCTAGCACGGGACAATTCCAACAGCTTTTTTCCAGGCATGGCAACTGACCTTTCTCAGCGTTTTTCTGCTTGTCTTTGATGATGAGTAAATAGCGTGGACTCTCGGGACAGAAGGGCAGGGACAGAAGCTGGAAAACGGCGGGCACTGCGGCGAAACCCAGGCACACTGACCACAGATCGTCCGTACCTGTACAGATAATTAAAGCAAATTATGAACAAATTTGTTCACAAATGTGAACAAATTGACAAACAGGCTGCAAAATAGACAGAAAGAGGTACAACTTGTAGTTCACGTCATGATGGTGAGACACCCAAACGTTTTTCGTGAATGGCAGATGTTGGAATAAAACCTTTGGAAACAAACTGACCACAAATCACCTATACTTGCAGTGATAGTTAAAAGTGATAGTTTAAAAATCTAACAAACTGCAAAATTGGGAGAAAAAGTAGAAATTGTGGTTTACATTGAAAAGTGTAGGTAACAACATTTGAGAAGAGGTTGGAATACAAATAAGACCAAACGATCAAAGTTGTTTCCAACTTTGCAATAAATAAATCTGATCTTAAACTGCTTACGTGAATAATAATAACATAATAGTGGGTATTTATAAAGCGCACGTATCCACCAGGACTGGTGCTCAACGCGCTACATCATTATTACCCCTGCTCATGTGGCCCGAGAAACATTCCAAATACCATCTCAGCTCCCTTGGGGAGTGGGGAGTATGCAGCTCGATGCAGCCTGTTAGGCGCAAGGAAGCTAATTCAATCACAATAACCATCTCTGCCTTCACAGGTTCCGATTTACTCCGGGGTAGAGAGGAGCAATGAGTGACAAAGTCCCTTGCCCAAGGGCACACACATAACCCCAGGCTTGACTCGAACCCACAACCTGCAGCTTTACCCGCAGACCACAAATCCAATGCCCTTAACCACGAGACCACAGCACTCCACGTGAACCAATAACCTCCGAGTGATCACGACTATTCCAACGAATACAAGACACAATACTCACCCCCCCTAAAAAGACTGAATTTCTGGTAGCGGCCTCAACACACACACTCCGCAATTTACCTCCCATTACTCCGAAAATAGGGGACAATATCATCATGCCATCGCAAGCCGTCCGCAATCTTGAAGTTCATTTTGAATCAACCATGTCAATGTCAAGTCATGTTCTCAACCTCAACCGCAGTATTCCTTTCTACTTACGGTAGCAACACCTCACAAATTCGCTGGTTCCTGGATTTTGAAACTTGTCACCACGTATTCCGTGCATTAGTTCTGTCCCGTCTCGATTATGGTAACTCTCTACTATATGGTATCACTGAGTCAGGTCTGGATAAACTTCAACGACTACAAAACCATGCTGTATGCCTTTTATTTACCGCTGACAGGCGTGAATCGGCTTCCCCACTACTTACTCAACTTCACTGGCTTCCCATCCGGCAAAGAATTGAATTCAAGATAGCCCTCCTCATCTTCAAATGCCTCCATCACACAGCTCCTCAGTACCTTAACCGCCTCATCCAGCTCAACGTATCTGGCCGACCTGGCCTTCGTTCCAGTAATGATGGCACACTATTGTCGGTGCAGATCGAGATTCAAGGACACCTCCACTGACCGTGCCTTCGTTATTGCCGGCCCTAAGCTCTGGAACACCATACCCTCAAGCATCAGATCACAGGAGACTATTTCATCACTCAGAAAACACTTAAAAGCTCACCTGTTTCCAATTTCATGTTAATATGTCTGTTTTCATTATCTTGTGTTGCTTTAGCGCCATGATCTAGATGGAATGGCGCTTTACAAATCTTGTTTTTATTTATGTAAGTTAAAAAAGGGAAGAAATCAGGGCAATTATAAATGGAAGTGCTCTTACCCAGGAGAACAGGGAGACCAAGGATCTGGGACAAGAGAATCCCGATCGTGACACCGAGCTGGTTCATGACGCTGATGGCCCCTCGTAGATTGAACGGGGAGACTTCGGATAGGTACATGGGAACAATGCCGGTATTTATACCTAGTGACAGAAAGTTAAAGGGCTCATGTAATATTAATTTTTTTAATGTAATCATTGAAATGTTCCTTTGTGTTCGATTTAACTCTAAATTTGTGAACTTCGTTTTGCCATTTTTAAACTGTAAGCTTGTGTAGGTGCTTTGGGGCGTTTTACGATACATGCGAATTTCCTTTTTCATGACAAAACTGTGTTACTCATTCAAGACAGAAACTTCAGTTTGACATCTGCCTCAGCATAAAAAGTCACCTGATGTTTGTTGACTATTCCAATATTCGATCATCGCCAGACTGTCCCATTTTTTTTCCGATTCAAATATCTATAAAAAATGTCTCAAGGATATGAGGAAACTATTACCTGGCTTGAGAAGATGAGGAAAGGTCAGTTGAGCAGTTTTATTGTTTGTCATTGCTTGTCAAATGCAACACTTTTGCTGAAAGCCATTATTGTGCAAGACTTGAGAGGGGCATTTACATACATGTAGATAAAACTTCTTTAAAATCAATCAAATATTAGCCACAGCCTTCATTGTACATGTAGCTGTTCTTTAAATTTCAGTAAAACAACGCTATATCGAACCCTACCGCTATACGTGTAGGTCTCTCTCAAATGACATCATTTCCTACAGACCAGCCACGTTCATTGGCATTTTGCAGAGATGCCACCAATATATCAATAAAAAGCCTGAACACTACTAAAAAACCTGAAACTACCCTTACCCCCTTTCAAAAATGTGTTTTCTAGATGTTTCAGACCAAATCCAGCACTTTTAATTTGTCACATTCTTTGAAAAAAACCTGAATTCAGGTTAAAACCTGAAAAGTGGCATCTCTGATTTTGAGCATCAACTTGCATAACGCGCATCGGCTACGTCCTCTTTCGAACACACTTCGAGCAACAAACGCGTGTATTTGGAACATTTTCAACACTGCGCAATGCATGATTGATTGCGTAAAATACGCAGTTGCAGTTAATTAATGTGGAACCCCCCCCCCCCCCTCTTTTTGTAATCAAAATCCTGGCTCCTATTTCCTGCTCCCTCTGATCCATCACCTTACCACAGTTCAGGCCGACTATCGTCCTGCCAATAATCAGCATCTCATAAGACCAGGCCACTTTACTCAGACCCATCAGTAACGCTGCCGCTAGAGCGATGAAGTTATTCAATAACAGGGTCCCCTTCCTGAAATGAATAATGGAAACACTTGTTTCTATGAAGTCCCTTTAACTTTGAAGAACAAGACTACAACTGATTAGTTTATGGGTGAGACATGGGAGATGGATTTCGAAGCAGTTATTTTGCTAATTTTTGTTTTTACTTAGACACATGTATTATTAATGATTGCACTGATAAAAAGGTAAGCTGAATCACTGGATCTGTAGGAAATTACTAGGCCATCTTTAAGATGAAATGAAGGATAAGGCAAAAAAAAAAAGTATCCGGTTCCTGGTATGCGCGCGCGTCGCCGTAGCCATGCGCGTCGGCAAAATGAAAAAGTTTTTTTTTCACTGAAAGATGATGTCTCAAAACCGCCAAACTCACTGGTTTGACTGGAATCCTGCTGCTGCACAATTTTAACGTGTTTTTAGATTGGGTTATGGTCGAGAATAAGCTTTATGTGGCTTCTCTGGACTCCCATATATTTGCACTAAGTTTAGTCGGGCACAATTTGCAGTCATCAGCACACATTTGAAGCAAAAACAATCAGGTAAAAAAAAAAAAAAGCCGCGTCGCCGCACCACTTTTTGGGCAAGCTCCATACCAGAAACTGGAGACCTTTTTTTTTTGGCCTAATGTTCATAACATGGACGGACATTCTTGAATCATACTAAATTACTCCAGCCCATGTTTCATTTATTGAACATGTTCAATGAAGAATTGGTATCATTCGGGGTGATGTAAATCAGATTAGGTTGTTAGGTACCACACTGAGAATACAGTGTTTATAAGTCGGTGAAGGGCAAAGCCTAATTTGATTGGTATTAACTTCTAATCGCTCTTAACTTTTTCACACGTCAGATTTTGGGATTGATTTACCCAAAGTGAGACTCTGGAATGCCAGAACTTAACTAGGCCATGCAAAAACAAACAAAAGCCACGCCTACCTGCCAAACCGATCAGCCAATGGGCCAGCTACCAGGGATCCCACCATACCCCCGGCAGCAAAGATGGCCACCGCTGTGGCGAAGAGGAAATCGTTCTTGTCATCGGGCATGGCATTGCCGCTTCGCCTCTCTTCCGTCTCATTGAAGAAACCTTGGATCACCTGCAATAAATCCTCACATTCTTTACTTTTCGGGGACAAAAATATAATCTTTTGAAACAACGCTACATCTGCTGCTTCTTAGGATAAACACCAAGCAAGCCAAGAAGACATTTTTATAAATCACCATGGGCATCTGTAACGGTTTCGTTGTACCGCCGATAGAGGGCAGTAGTTGCAACCTCGAATCAGCTCTTCGTAGCCGATTTATGAAATCGTGTTGTTTCACCGGGGTACGCGAAGGGCAAGGACGGAACATGGCGGCGCCCGTGAACAGGACGTGCGTTAGCCGAGTTTGTGAAGATACATGTACCGGTGTAACTTAACCGTTTACAGGGACGAACCTTTTGAAGAGGAGAAAAAGATTGTCCAAGAAAACAAGGCCGAGTATGCTCAGGCCTAGGCCCGTCATGTCCGTAAATACGGGCGGTTAAAAACTACCATGTTTACGGGTCTACCGTCTGGCACTACCAGTCATGCCAGTACCGGACCACAGGCCAGGTAGGTTTTTATGTCGTAAAATAGAGATCGTAAAGGCGGCTTTATGACTTTGGCTAAGAAAAATATTGTTTTTGCTATTAGTAGGATGGGTAGGCGAGTACTTTTTGGCATTGTGTAGTTAAATTTAAGACACCTATAATAAACATCAATCATGTTTTTGTTTTACAAATACAACTACAAGTCTGTACAATGACATTCATATTTCACAACTAGCCTACATGTATAGCTTGAGTAACTCCTGCTTACATGCTAATCAGCATGTCAGCTGGAGTTACTCAAGTTAATTCAAAACCATGCTCTCTTTCCACAAAATTAAGCAACATGGCATCTTATAATTAGGGAACTATCTGTCATGTCTGTATGATTCCCAACCAAAAAGGTGATTGATCCTAGCTGGAGTTACATCAGCCCTATATTAATTGTTTTATCATTGGGTTGTAGGGCTGCAACCCAATGATAAAATATATAGGGCTGAGGTAATTCTAGCTACATGTAGATTGATCCTGCTATAGGCATAAAAGTTTCTAAACATGACTGTTCTTTTATATGAAAACTGGGTAAAAAACTGAATGATTTATTTTATATCTCTTACTCAAATTTTGATAGCTGAAAGACATAAAAAGGTCAGAATGATGGCTGATTTCCTCATCCTTGCAAATCCCATCACCATATGGCAATCTGTGCAGATAAACAGTTGGTATTTGAGATACGCCATATTTGAAGTAAAGCACAATCAATCAGTTTACAAGTGCAGTACTCATCCTAACAAACCCTGGCGTTGGAGTTTGGCTGGTTGGGGATCTTACGGTCCCTCAAAGTTTCCGCTGTTGTGCCGGTAATCTCTCTTAACATGCAAATGTATACGCATATGTGTCTTTGTCACTCAAGACTATCAATTTATGTTTTAAACCGAGCAAACGAGTAGCTCCAAGGGAAAACGCTGGCCTCCATTTCCACTGACCCGAGTACAAGTCCCACACTCAACATTAAATTTGTTTCATTTTCCCAAAAAGTTCAATTTTTGTCCTAAATCCAGTCCTCCAATTAATAACAGAATATTTCAACTTTCTCTTTCTCATCTAAACAGGTTCTGCAATGTGACTCCCGGTTCAGTTGGCCATGGTTGGTAGATGGGAGGAGAAACCATATATTCCAGTTGATGATCATTGCGTGTGGCTCCCCTAGTGTCCTCCAGAATATTTGCTGCTAGTATAAAAAGGAACTGCACCTCACGAAATTGCTCCTGTCTGGCTAGGAAATTGCCTTGCCTTGAACTGATTGCGGGAACAACACTTCTCAGAGTTTGAATGCCTGCCCAGCGATGGTGATGAAAGTGACATTGATCTTTAAAGACACTGTCTTATGCCCCTGTCTATGACCATGTATCAAAGGTATACACATGTATTTGTCATCAATGATCAGCCATATTTTTCTATTAGTTGGCTAACACCACCTGTAACTACATGCACGGCAACATGTATGAGTATTTTATCAGCTTGGTCAAGATGGTAGAAATGTGAACTGTAATCATGACTTTCATGAAGGCTATTTCTTCCGTCAATTTGTATGGTCACCCAAGTTCCAGTTTTAAAGAGTTTATTTTAGGCTAATAAATGGCAATCCAATCATCTACAAATAGTTTGTCTGGCTCAAAATGTAAGAGAAAAAAAACTAAACTAGAGGTTCGCGTTTGTTGAGTTACAAACGCAGAGTGGTCGGGTTGGCATATTTTCTTGTGTTTACAGTGACTTAATCATAATTGAACTGAACATTACCCCTCCCATTACCCTGCACCCATTACCCTGTGTTTTTCAAAAAGAAAATCACACAACCTGCAGTTGAACTTGTTGCTTTACCTCGACACGACTTGTAGGCCTATCAAGAAGCGCACATCTGGTGCTGCATGGATGGCTACTCAAGCATACAACCAGTTGGGACTATTGGTAGAGTTAACGAAGCCTCTAACGTCGTTGGAGCTTATGCAACAGAATTATGCTAATCTTAAAATAAAATGGCTTCTTTTCTTTTTTTTTCTTTTTTTTTCTTTTGCATTGGCATAATTAAAATTCTGCACTAAGGTTACGACATTGGTAGAATTGACAGAGCGCCTCACATCGTTAAAGTTTATGAAACATAATTATGTTAATTTTAAGATAAAATTGCTTTTATTTTGGTTTTTTTCTTGGTCTTTTGCATGGGTATAATACAATTCTGCAATGAATTTATTACAACGGTAGACTTGACGGAGCCTCTAACGTCGTTGGAGTCTATGCAACATATGCTAATTTCATCATAAAATGGCTTTTATGGGTTTTTTTCTTTTGCATGGGCATAATAAAATTCTGCACTGATTTTACGACAGAAAAGTTTGTGGCTACACGCTGTAGAAATATTAATTTTCAGCATTCAGATATGAGAGGGAAACTGGCGAGGTGCGATTTCAATTGGTTATGGCGAAAAATATCAGAAAATGGACGAGAATATTAGAATTGAATTCATGGTCAGAATCGGAATCGGTAGACTTGAGGGAGCCTCTATGACGTGTTTGGAGCTTAATATATGCAACATTTGATTATCTCAATATCAAAAATAGAATGGCTTATGTCTTTTGCGTGCATGGGCTTCCTAAAATTCTGCACTGAGATAACGAAAAAAAGTTTGTGGCTACACTGTCGAAATATTAAATTTCTGCATAAAGGTACGAATTAAAGAATCAGAGTTGATATGCGAGTTACGCCGAAAGAAATCAGAAAAAAGACTAGAATATTAGTTTTGAATGCTTTGTGTGATTTTGTACAAATTCCTGGATCCTCCCCTGGGTTTATTCTTATAAGAGCTGTGATTTTGCAGTCCCTGGTGAACAAATAATTATGATGAAATTATGTGGTAGCAATACTATTATTGTAAGCAGTCGCTTTCTTATTTGTTCCAACAAATATAGTAAAACGTAGTAAAATGCAGTAAAATGCTTCCGCTTCCTAGTTATATTCAGTTTTTATTGCACTTCCGGTAACACCGGAAGTAAAGGTCAAGCGGTTTGATGCTTTATATGCCGTGAAACCCTTTCAATTATGAAACTTTTGGCATCAAAATACTTCATGTTGGGTTAATGATGTAATTCGGTCATCTACAAAGAGCATTTTCAGCTCTGCATTTGAGAATAATAATGCCTAGAAAAAATACTGTATTATTACATGTATACATTTGTAATTATTTCCCATCGATTTACAATCTTTGGAATTCAAGTTTTAGACAGTTTGTTTAATTTTTATAAACGACATAATTAAGTTATTTTTCAGCATCACATGGAACATTTCAGTGATACTTTGGAAAAATACTGTGTAAGCATACAACACTGAATATGACCAAAGCGTTACATGTATTTGCTGAATAATTTCCTACTTAATTAACAAAACAACAATAAACTTTAATTATGATTTTTTTTTTGCATCAAAGACTATTTAGTGACATGCAGTTCAGTCATTTACATTTATGGAAACGGTGTGGTTTGCCTTATGGATATAAAATCAGTAATGCCTAGAAAACCAGGTGGTACATGTAATAAAACATTGCACATAGATACACATGTACACAGTATGTCAAAGCATTGTTTTTGCATTATTATCGTTATTATGAAATCCCTTTGGCTATGAGCGTACAATCTTTGACAGTTATTTATCATTAAGTATTCCAAGTTGGTGACAATCTGCATTGAAATCGGAGGGGCCATTGCCGAGATCCTTAAGGGAATGTATTGTCAGAGGTCCCCAAAAGAGGATATTTTTGGTTATAACACTTCGAACGAAGATTGTGCTTAAACCTGCCACCTGATAGCTTGGCAACAGAAAGAATTGAATTCAGCACCCTCAAATTGACAAAGAATAAGCATTTTTTTGTTGCCACCAAAAATCTTGAACGGATAGGATTTGGGCCAGATAGGATTTCTGGCCCACGGTCTACATGCCTACTGCACAATGTGTGTGTTTGGGAGGGTTTTGAAATGTCCTTAAATATAAATCAAAAGTGTTAATTAGAGAGCTACGGTAGTGAACTTATTGTTGGGCATAAAAATCAGTATTTTATTATCGCTGGCATGTTCATACATTGGACAGAATAGGCTACATGGTACATGTACCAGTAAATATATCCGGTGAACATTAATGTACTGTACAGTACTACTGTGTAATGATTAGATAATATAGGATGGCCTTGAGGGGGAGAATATACCGTTCAAGCTATAACAATAGTGCACAAGTCGAAGATGAGTGCAATAATGTTATAGCTCACTTTTAATCTTAATAGTATTAGTAGCTCACTTTTTTATCTTAATAATAGTACACTAGTATGTAACTGGTTGTAGTTTCAGCTATGTGGATATTTATTTGAGAACTCAGAGAAAACTACAATATCAATATCACTGCAGCCATCAGGAGAGTTCTACTGACATACCACTGTACATACCGGTTAAAGGGAATGTACATCATTGGCTTTTGCTGTAATTT